CTGTGATACAAAGACTCACATTGGCGATTTGCTCCTTCAGCAGGTTGACGACTTTTCTTTGTCCGTTTACAATCTGGATATGGAAGTAGATGACGACCCTGAGAACAACCCACCATCATAGCATTAGAGTATACATGATATATATATACAGGGCTTGAAAAATGTGATAGTGTCTCACCAATATGAAGTACAGAGTGTAGAACACGTCTCTGGTGGGAGTCGCTCACATTCTACACAACTTGCTCTGCAAAGCTGAAAAAAGATTAATTATTCATCCAATTAGAATTTTCAGCTGTTTGGCAGCACAGAGGCTCGAGCCAGCCATAGAGATTATTCCAGGTCAGCCTGCAGACCGCAGGAGAGAAAAATACACAGATTCCTCATTCCATGCTAAACAGGGTGGATGGAGGAACCTGCACTGCTGGCTATTGTATTCAGAGAGCCACTGCACCTGCAGCTGTCTAAGTACCCGAACAGTGACTGCATCTGATAGAAAGCAGTCGCTGTTCAGCCAATCATTTTCCACCACACTTAATCAACTTGTGTTGGGGCAGGTGGTGCCAACAGCCTCACATTTCAGCCGATTCAGCAGGAATCGGCTGAAATCAGAGCTGTGTATGGCTAGCTTTAGTGGTTAGCACTTCTGCCTTGCAGCACTGGGGGACCACAGTTCAAAACCCCACCAGGACACTATGGAGGTTGCATGGGTTTCCTCTGGATACTCCGGCATACTCCCACACTCCAAAGCCATTCTGGTGGGTTCATTGTCTCCCATCTAAATTGGCCCTAGTATGATATTCTATTTGAGTGCAACCAAGATGACTGCGTCACCTCCTTTCTGCCCCAACACCAAAGCAATAGGTGCTTTAAAAAGGAGAACTATGGGGTCAGGGCTTTTCCCCATAGTTCTCCTAAGAGTCACGGGAGGACACAAACTAGCGTCCTCCCGTGACCCGAAGCTCAGTATATAGGGAGCTGCAGCTCGCGGTATACTGAGACCGCCACAGCCGGGACGGATCCCGACATTACTCTCTAGATCCACCCAGATGCGTGAGTGACAGCTGGCTCTGCCTATCTAGAGGCGGAGCCATCTGTACCCGCCCCCTCCCGTTCCGCCAGTCAGCGCTGGAGGATCGGAGCGGCAAGGGGGGGGGATTTCTGCAGGGAGCCGTGAGTGACAGTCACGGCTCTCTGCAGGGACAGGATCGGGAAGTGAGCGAGCGACGGTATGTGTTCGCTCACTTCTCGATCTACTGAGCCGACCTGTGACAGTCTCATTGTCCCAGGTCGGCTAGAACTATGAGGGTGAGTGAAAAGCACTCACCTCATAATTCTCCTTTAAGGAGAAGAGCATTATAAATGATGAATAATATTTGGAGGAGTAGAAACCCTTTTTAAGATTAAAGAGTAAGCCCACTTTCCCGACAGCTCCATGTCAGCACACAATGGGGGCGGAGCCTACACCCATTATGTGCTGCCATGCAGCAGTCGGGAAAGGAAAATTGCGGTAATTATGATAATACAATTTTCCTGTTTGAATGTGACTCTCCCCTCCTAGGGGTACCATGTCCTGTACATATGAGAACCTTCACAAGCAAAACCTTTTTCTATTCA